ACTTGACCATATCCTCATCAGTTGCACTGTCGAGAATGGCCTCTCACTATGCACTGCACAGGTGAGTGGATTGGAAGGGAAGGAGATAAAAAGTTTTACTACCTCGGTTGAATTCATGGTTGATGGGAAGCGAGGCTTAGAAATAAGCGCATGAATTTGTCAGGTGAGTGCGACTGTGCGTCAACTGAGTATATATGTGTGGATGAGAAAGACACTTTGAAGAACGGAGACCTCCTTCGCCTCTGACACTGAGTGTTGGACGCTGAATGAAAGATGGTGATTCCGGATACAAATGGTAGAAATGAGGTCTGTGTGAAAGACAGTCGTCATGACAACTCTCGACAAGATATGGAACACAACTGTCTGAGACACTCTTACATATGAGTGCTCATTTTCTAAATCACCATATCACAATCGCAGTGGTTTAGGCCGGCGATAAGAAGGAACCTACGTGTCTGTTGGGCTCTCCCTCAAAGCTACAAAAGAACAGGCATTCTAGAGTTAATCACATGACATCACTCAGTTATAGAAAAGATATTGCAATCAGCTGGGGAGTTGTTAGGAAGCAGGACAAGAACATAGTCGCAAGGATTTACTTGCAATCACAGAGTACATACAAATGGCAACAACTGCCTACATGAGATATCATAGTCTTCATATCTGCATAATAATTTTTCCGTACCAACGCATAGTAGTCCTTTTATACGCCTATTGATTCTTTGTTCATCATCGGGGACCAATCCGCGTTTACCTACTGTCTGTATTTCCGGTGCATGGTGCGCCTTTGTCTTACGACGTACGGAGGGCGAGCGCTTTTCTTTTGTTCCACTCACGTTTCCGGTCCTTTGTGGGAGACGAGGGCTTGCCCTTTTGTTCACTTCACGTGTAAGGTGGGTCCGCGTCCAACTGCCTTCGCTTTATTACAGTCACTCGTCGCTGACCGTTGCAATACAGCATTATCGCGCCTTGAAACCCAGATCGTTGAACTTAGTCCTTTGGGGAGGACCAAAACTATCGCAAACACTCCTGAAGCAACTGTTCTGTGATTTTAAGGGAATATCTAGTAGCTAAGGTGAACGCTAAAGGAATTGCGCTTAGTGCGACATATTTTGCATTTATTATTTGAATATTTTATAACGAAATTACAAATATACAATTACTGACTAATTCAGAGAAAGGTACACAAATATTCTGCATCTTGTTGTGGTAAA